CACAGGATATCCCGGTAGTATAAAAACCTCCTGTCTTTTGTACGTACATAATTGGCATTGGATATATTCTCTCTCTCTCTTTCTCATAGAAAAAAAAATTTCATCGACTCCAACAAATTATATTCAACAACCGAAAATCAACTCTCGGACTTGTAGCGAATTAAGACACTTTCAGAATGATAATAGCAATCTTGGTCTCTTTCTCTCAATTAACCTAAATTCCGAAATATATATATTTTCCTTAATAGAGTGAATTAACATCGCACTTCGTTGCTGTATCCTTCAATTTGGACGGTGTATTTGGGTGTGCTCCTCGTGCGAGACAGACCCTCTTTCTCAGCTGTTGTAGCTAGCCGTTCTATGATGAATACGCTTTTGCTCGCGCGTGCGTTCGCGTACGAGTATCTCTCGGCTGGCTGGTCGCCGGTTTCTCTCGCGCTAATTAGCAAAAGTTTGCCGTGCAATAAACGCGTCTAGCTTTACGTAATCCCCGGACTGGACACTCGCGCGCACAATGCCGCTCATTAATGGCGTATCCGATCTGTCCCACCGCGTCGGTCGAGATTGCTGAAATAATCTCACGGAGACTTTCCTCGACTTTCCTCATCGGACAGGTCCTTTATATGGAGAGCTTCGACGATAATTGTTATATAAGGATTTTAGGAGAAAAAGTTACTGTTACTTGGGATTATTTTTAGCGTATTTAAGATGTCAAAATACATTTTTATTCAATACACATTATATCTTTCTAATCATCTTTTAATTAATGATCTACTTTTCTTCAATTTTTTTGTACGCTAAATTAATTTGTTTTAATTACAAGGTGTTAATAACATTTTTCTACCGCGTCGAGAGATTATTGAAATAATCTCCGGAGACTTTCCTCGACTTTCCTCATCGGACAGGTCCTCTTTACGGAGAGCTTCGACGATAATTGTTATATGACTTTAGGAGAAAAAGTTACTGTTACTTGGGATTATTTTTAGCGTATTTAAGATGTCAAAATACATTTTTATTCAATACACATTATATCTTTCTAATTTATCTTTTAATTAATGATCTATACCTTTCTTCAATTTTTTTTGTACGCCAAATTAATTTGTTTTAATTACGAGGTGTTGATAAAATTTTTCTACCGAGAGATTATTGAAATAATCTCTGGAGACTTTCCTTATCGGATGGATCCTCTTTACGGAGAGCTTTGACGTTAATTATTATATAAGAACTTTAATAGATAAAGTCGCTAATATTTGAAATTTTTTAAACATATTTAACATGTCAAAATAAATTTTAATCCAGTACACAGATTATATCTTTCTAATCGTCTTTTATTCAAAATAACTATTAAACATTCCGTTTCACTTTTCTTCAATTTTTTTTGTACACCGAATTAATTTGTTTTAATTACAAAGTGTTGATCAAAAATAATATGATATTCCCATCGTGTTGCGAAATTCGAAACTGTCTTTCAATCGAGTTTAAAGCATAAACTCTCACTAAAAGAGAAATAAAAATTTAAATTCGTGGACTTGGTATATTTTGGAAAACATTTCGTTACATATACCATTCTGTTTGCGCATATATTTTTTTGCTCAAAGTGATATACCGAGAACGCGTATACCGATCGTATCCGCAAGCATCGAATAGAGCCCAGCCTCTCTCTTCCTGGATCGACTCGCCATGGTGCCGTAGCCAAGAGTAGCGCTTATTTCCCGGAAAATTTCCTCGTACATTCACCAACCATTTCTGCTCGAACAATTTCGCAGTGTTCGCTTCGATGTTTTGATCAGTGATGCTTCAGAAAAAGAGAGCGAGAGAGAGAGGGAAGAGGGCAAGACGAAGAGAAAGGTTAATTCTTTTAATGCTTTTAAAATTCGAAGTGCTAAAGAGAAGAAAGAAAGAGGTAAACAATTATAGAGAAATCAAGAAGCTTTGCTTTAGCACAAAAACTTATCAAAATCAGAAAAATTTGCATTTAATGTTTTGGGAATTTAATTGACTTATATGATTCAGTAATCATTGAATCAAGAAATAACAGTATAACAATATCTTTAACGTTAGTACTCAAAGAGTGAAAATCTCTGATGAAATCAAAAGAGAAAAAAATAGGGCATAAGCCATTTGCAACAACAAATGTTATTACATAAAATAAAAGCATGGTCAATCATCATTCAATAGAGGTATTTGCTTCTAAAGATAATTAGTACACCACTTTACAATGATTATCAGTTGAATAAAATAATACTCTTATTTAAAAGTAGATTGCTTTTTTTTATCTTCTGTCCAAAGATAATCTTTTGATTTTTGCCCAATGATAACTATTCTAAAACTCTTTCAAAATAATTGCTCTGTCATCCTATATTCTTACGAAAGAATATGCATGGATGCCCTCTATTCACTCGTTATGAAGGAACTATATTTATCTATTATACGAATCTTGCTACATTGTCATAAAAACCATAAAACTCCGAGCGGACGAGCATCTTGACGTGCGTATTACGTTATATTATATATGTTGTCGTCTTGCACCGAAATCCAGTTTTAGACAAATAAAATTTGCCTATGAAGAAAGTCTACGGAGACTCGGAATCTCATCTGATCTTCACGATACGTTACAACATACGTTCTTATACGTGACTGTTTATTTAGCACAGATATTTTGTCTATCTTTCACATAGAATATTTAATTTTTTTGCTTAAATTATCAACAATCTAAAAATCTTCTTATATAAATATTTGTGTCATATATTCCACGAAAAAATCTTATTTTAAATTTTAGAAGAAGATCACAACTTTATATTTTAGATTATTTGCGGACATATCGCAGGCTTTTTGTAAAATAAAGAAACATTTTATAAAATGCTTCCTTTTCATAGAAAAGTCGTTAAAATTTCAATATGGCTTTTTATATCTGTTGTTTCGTGCAATTTTATTATTTATTAAATTTTACAAGATTGCGATATTAATGTTCCATCAATTCTTTCCATTATATTGCTTTAATTAGTTTCAATAAATTATTATTTATTGAAATTTTAATAAATTGTTTATTAAAATTACTCATTAAACTTTGAAACCAATCATAAAATAAGAAGATAGAACTTTTCGATAAATTATGAGACCAGATTAATTAACAATCCTACAGAATAAAATAAAAAATACTAATATGTTTATAATAAACATGGTAAAATTAATCGAACGTATTTATTTCTTATTATGGTAGATATTAATATTTGCTATTATGGTAAAACTATTAATCAGAGAAAATCTTATAAAATTCTTTCAATACCATATATTGTCCCATGATTTTCAGGGTATAAATTCTAAAAGAAAATTCTCTCTGTGTACTTTTGAACTACTCTCAAAAAACATAATAAATCGCAGGTACTAGAATCGAATAAAAAACAGCTGATTTTCTGCGATACCTACACGGATAAAATAAAATAAAAAAATACTAATAATAATGTTTATTATATACATGGTAAAATTAATCGAACATATTTTATATCTTATTGTGATAGATATTAATATTTGCTATTATAGTAAAACTATTAATCAGAGAAACTCTTATAAAATTCTTTCAATACCATATATTGTCCCATAATTTTCATGGTATAAATTCTAAAAGAAAATTCTCTTTGTATACTTTTGAACTACTCTCAAAAAACATAATAAATCGCAGGTACTAGAATCGAATAAAAAACAATTGATTTTCTGCGATATATATTTCTAAGCGAATCGATCTCTTTTTTACGAGCGATATCGCTAATCGGCATACGTGGTCACAGTCCGTGTCAGCGTCTAACGGGGCAATCGTGCAGAAACGGTAGATGGGAGCGAGGAACGCGAGAGAGACTCGCAAAGAGAAAGAAGAGCGAAGACGAGGAGGAAAGCACGGAGGATGAGAAACGCACACGGAGGAACGACGGCCTCAGAATCAGGCGGTGCATCGTTAATGCAGATTGCTCGATTGTGAGTTTCATTCGATGAATCATGTGCTTTCCGGAGTGCGTGTCCGCACGCATATCGAGACACGCGCAGTATACCGAGGGTTTTATTTTCGTGGGGTACCCGATGAATCATCGCGAAATTTTCATCGCGCATATACGACTCCGCCGAAATATCGTTCGCCAAGTATTAGACATAACGTGTGAAAAGTTCCGGAGGAACGATTTTTTTCAAAAATAATAACGTGCGCATTCTTTTTCGATGACATTTTAGTTATCTTTTGACATCTTAAAATTGTCTCATATAATCCTTTCCATTAAAAATCCATTAGAAACTTTCTATCAAATACCAAACTGTTTGTTTAAGTTCTAAGAAGATATCTCTATTGTATACATATATTTACATTTGTATCTATTTTAAGTGAAAGTAATATTAAGGATGTGATGTTTTTTAATCTTATCAGCTGCGCGCCCGCAAATATAGAATGAATCTCGAATAATGGTCCTATAATGTCTTATTAATTACAACGAAAATAATAAGATAAACTCTAATAAGAAATTTTCATTTTCAGAAAAAAATGCGCTTACGCATCTTCAAAAATTTCAAATATTGATCTCTATCAATCGAGAGATATCAATATTTTCAACATATTTCCCATAAAGCAATATTTTAAGTAAGTTTATCGCTTATTAATTCGTCAACGTACACTGAAAAAAAATTGTTAACTTGACTAAACCTTTCAACTAAATATTATTTTGTTAATCGAACACAAATAAATATTTAAATAAAACATCTAGTAAAACATATATTTGACTAAAGTGCTGATATATGTTCAATTATAATAAAATAATTAAATTGAAAGATTGAACCGAGTGTAGAAATTTTCTTTTCTCAGGGTACGATAAAAAACAATATTGAAATTTTCCAGGCACGATATACACATAATCTAATTTCCATATATTACCAAGCACCATGAGCGGGCAAACATGCGCGTCGCATATAAAAAAGCATCATGCAGCGTATATATGTATATATATGAATGTACATACACTCACCCATTTCTCCCGTGGTTTGCTCCACATGATTCGACCTCCGCAGTTGGGCCATCGTCGCCAGTCTTGGACCTGCAATCGATCGTGTTAAGATGAATGTCGGCGCGAGAAGGAGTGAAAAGCGCGTTTTCCGGATGACAAAAGCCCGAAACGAGGGATTCCTCTCTCGGGCGTTCGATCGTTTCACCGTTACTTCGTACGTGAGCGCCTTGCACATTCCTGGACCGTGTCCAGAAACGATCTGAATTCCAAGTACCAGTTACCATAATCGGAGATTCAGGAGTGCTCGGACGCGGCCGTTGGTCTAGAATTTCGAGTCGCGTCATAATAGAGGAAGAATATCCTCGCGAGGGACGCGAGATTCGGAGAGAATCTCTCCGAGATCCACCCCTTAATCAGGTCTCGCTCTAGTTATCGGCCAATCGCAGGCCGGATTCCTCGCCCTTAAATCTGGGCCAACTCTTTTCACCACCGAGACCACAACCCCTTTTCTCGACGTCGTTATCGTTTAACGTACATTCCAACTGGCAAGCTCGGAGAGACGTTCGTGAAAGATGAGCGTCGGAAATCGCGACCCATTTTTTATACGGATAAATCGTTTATTAGCAGATGAAAGCGTAGAGAGTTTAATTAAAAATAAATTCGATATAATTCATGAATTATTTTCTAATATATTGTACTTCTATAATTTTTTATAATATATTGTACTTCTATAATTTTTTATAATATATTATTAAAATATAATAATATTATAATTCATGAATTATTTTCTAATATACTTCTATAATTTTTTTATAATATATTTTTAAAATATAATAATAATTTATCTGTTATTCTATTTTGAAGCACTCGTGATCTTTGCTAAGTCGTGCTATTTACTATTCGCATATTGTATGCAAATATAATAAGATTCATACACAGACAAGAGCGAAACAGCCAAAGCGTTTTCGTTCAATGTGCGTCACGTCGCATTATTATTTGTAAATTAAGCACTTCTTTTGATAAACACTATGATTATTTATAAATTATATTTCAATTACATGCTATTACGTCTACGTGAGTTAAATTATATCCGGAGAATTAGCGTCAATTTCATTTTTTTCATTTTTTTTAAATAAGTTATTAGTCGAGTAACGTAGCGATATAAAGAATTTCAATATAGTATCCAATGTTTTTAAACGATTAAACGGAATTACGCAAATTATAACAGCGACAATCGAATGCCTAGTATATTTTATAAATAACTAAAGTAGAAAGAAGAAGAAAAATGTTAGAAAGACTCTAGGAAAATTCCGACCGCGGTCTCGTAATTTTATGATATATATCGTATTGGAAATTTCGAGAGACAGCGAATGCGCAAATTACACGTAATTGCATCGCGCTGGCAAGTAAATAAACGAGAGTGGAATAAGCTACTAACAAGACGACTAATGGGGCCAACGGAAGACGCGATTATCGGAGAGCGGACTCATCCACTTACGTTTGTTTCTGCATTATCGTTCCTACAATACGCGGCTCATTAACAATACTGTGCGACTCGCAAGACGATGCAGTATTACGAAAGTTCAGCGATAATGCTGCCTCGAGAAATTCTATTTAACTGAAATATATATTTTTGGAAATCTATATCAGAATCATGGGCGGCCGCAGAATTTTTTCCATTTGGGTATAATAAAAATTTTTTTATCTCTTATTTTTTTTTGTTCTCTTTTAATTTTTTTAAATTTAATTAAAAAAAATTGTATGTTAAATATGCAAATAAATTCCAGTGTTTATTCAAAAAGAGCAAATGATTGCAAAGAGGGAAAGAGGTAAATGTCCATGATCAGAGACAATTTTAATATATGCGGCGGATTGGAAAGATGCGTCGACTTTTTAAATACGAGATATTTTTCTCGTTATCGAAAAATATCTCGAAAAATATTATCGTTGCGCCTCTTCGCAATATGTTATTGGAAAATAAATTTCAATATATAGGGAGCTTCGATATATTTATATTATTAATTAATGATTAACAAGTCAACTGATGAGTTGTAATTTATTTGCTATTACGAGAAATCTATATTTTCGTTTGTTGCCTTATATCTTGAAACAAGAGAGGCCTAGTCATAGATCGTATCAAGCAGCAGCGTCATCCTTCGCATTTATTATCATCGCGACGATAAGCGCAGTCGACCATTACTTACGCGGCAATTATACGACTGAAAGTCATTGTGTTTCTCTGCATGCAAAATAGTGCGCGCTGAATTCTAGATCATGACTTATGTATCCCGGGACTGACAGTCCCGGGAATACTTCGAATTATCACGCATAGAAGTTCGGGAATGGTTCGAAAATTGCAAACGAAAAAATGAGAAATTGTTTCCAGAAATACGAATAATTATAATTGCGTGTACTTTATATATTACATATATAGTATCCTATATAAAATTTTAATTTTACCGATAACTTTAATATGACGATATATAACAAATAATCGTAAAAATCTAATTTTATAGAAATTATATTTTTTAATGTTTTGTTTCTTTGCTCGAAAAAGCTTTGAAAATTCATTTGCTCTATATAATAAAATGTGTGATCGTAATATATTCGATTTAATATTAATTATTATTAATTTCTTTATAATATAAACTTTTTATGCAATATAAATAATGTTTGTTCTTTCAATGCGAAATATTTTCTGTTTAAGAGCGCTGTGCTGACAGTGGCAGCCTGCAAATTACCATAAATGACATCTATAACCATTGATACTTTTCGCCTTATCGTCCAGCGTGATAAAGACATCGTGTGTTGCCTCGACGCCGATGAGCGCAACTTCATTAGTAAGTAAGGTCGTCGAAGAAGCGTAATATGCAAAGGTGCCTGGTATGTCAATCTTCTACGTAAATCTCCAATCTTCCGCGAATATATAATTCACTCATGAAAGTCAGTATCGTAAATAAGCGACGCGTTTTATAAATCGGCATATATTTAAAAAAATTAATGCCGTTTTTAATTTCTTTTTTTTTATCTAAACTAGTCGTTTTAATGTATATTCTATCGAACAAAAAATAAATAAATAGAAATGTCATTTTATTAAAAAAAATTAGAGAACCGTGTAAAGTATATCTTGAAGAATTAAGAACCCTTGAATTTTTTTATAAAAAAGCAATTAGATAGAACAGTTGGGTTTGCTCTTTCTAGTAGCAAAATACTATGTTATTTGTCGAATTGTCAAAGATATATTAAAAATGATTTCTTAGAACGCTAATCATTTTATAAAATTAATGAACGTTATTTGGGAGAAAAAGTTATTTATAAAATTAAAATAACAAGCAGGGACTCTTCACTAATTGCAAAGAACTGGAGACCCGGTGCAATAATAATGCAAAAGGAATGCGCATATAGTAATATATCGCATTGATACAGCAATTGAGACCAGACGAAGGCTGGACCATTGATGGAGATCTTAAACTGGGTAGGGATATCCTTACTTTCATTGGTCAGCATTACGAGGCCAATGAAGAGCAAGGACGTTACGCTTGCGCAGCTTCCTGCAGTGTGTTTGCTAAGTCTTTCATCTCGTTGCAGAAAGACGACTTTGTGAGAAATAAATCCTACTCAAGTATGCACATATTAAGAATGCTATATTAGACTCCAATAAATGTCATCGCCTAGAATTTAACAATAGAATCCTATATGCTTGTCTGTATGTGTATGTGTGTTCAAATAAATTATATATAAATGTATAGGTATATGTATGGATTATATAGAATGTTGTGCTAATTACAGTGTTTTACATTAATATATTCTTTCATATAATAATAAAATCTAAATCTAATATATGTAATATATTAGACCAATACTTTCAGAATTAGATAACATTTGATAATAATACAAAACATAGTACACTTCAAGAGAGAGAGTAATTTTTTAGATGTTTGAGTACACTTTAAAATTTGTCCGAATACATGCATTATATTGAAAAATCTAACTGAACCTGAGAACGAGCGGAAAAAACATTAGAATCATATTTTATTTATTTTACATTTGGAGGAGCACATGAATGCAAAGCTGGAGGAACCTTAAAATATAGTTATTTTTTATCAATTAATTTTTGACTGACCGACATCACGTGAGAGAAACAATCAATATTTTTTTGTACGAAACAATAAGCTATGCCTCTTGATTCCCGACGAAGCAGAAATTTCACACCCTTTTCTCGGATGTGCACAACCCCATTATTATTATATCAACTTCTATACCTGTGTGCGTCTTGGTCTCAAAACGGAAACAACTATAAAAACAAACCAAAGTCTTCTACAATGGACAGACGGAAATCGTCTTTATCTTTTCCTTTTTTTTCTCAACGATCTAACCGTGCACACGTCCGGTCGATGAGGACATTCGACCGCGACTTACTTCCAGAAACGGACGGCTTCAACTACATCACGAAATTGTTCGAGGAAAATAATCGTTCTTCTTGTAAGTCTTATTTTATCTTCACCATAATAGTCACAAGTGAACATTTTCACATTTTATTTTAATCTTCTAAATAAAAATTCATACAAAAAAGAATCCATTGCGTCAATCAATATAATGTGTAATATTTTTTAATATAGTTTTTATCATAAAAAGACCACAATTCAAGTTACTAATTATAAATTTTTCCAAAAACTTTTCTAAAATCCCTTGTTTTCCAAGCACCTTTCATATTCTTTCGCAAAAATAATACAAGTGCATAAGCTGAATAATTATTGAAGAGAGTCCCTATTTAAATCCGTGTCCTTCTTTTCTAATTCTACAATTCGTTAATCCCTTTTCTAACCGTTCTACGCGAAAATGAAGCGCACGTCGTTCTAAAACCTTGGACCGGTCTACCCTTGTGACCAGGTGGATCAAGGTTACGGACGAGGGAAGGTCCGGCCGGTCAGAGGTCGTATACCTGCACGATCCTTCGGGATCGCGTAAATATTCGCGCTTGCGCCTCTACCTGCTCGTTACCGAGGGTTACGTGGAAAACCTGTTTCCCGCAGGATCAGCTTGAACCTGGCGAATTAAAGGGATTGTTGAGAGCGGTCCTCAGGTTCGCAGGTCAGAACGGACGGAATCGGGGCAGCAGCCCCGATCGAAGGGTCGCGCAGGTACACGTAACCCTTTTCGCGGGTCCATCCCGAAGCGTCCTTTACTCTAGGTCCTAAGACCCTGGGCGCGGCACGAGGAAAGCTCGACGATAAAATATGACGCACGTGTCTTTCGGCGGCGTCGTGTCGTGACGTTCCGTTGCTCTGCCCGGCGATTGGTGTGTTTGAACATTTTGCACCACTCGGAGAGGGACTGCGAAAACGAAGACCGTTACGATGTCCTAATGTCACCTAATTTTTCACATCGTGAGCGTGAAACACCGATGCATCCAACATATTGCGCATCTAATATCTATAGAGCTAAATTTGCATTGTATATATATTCGCAATTCGCGTATAATTCATATATGTATGTTCAATTTTGCAAAAAGTGACGCATGAATTTTAGTTAGTCTGGTTAGTCATAGCCTTTATGAATTTCAAGGATAAAATTGATAAAACAAGACTGTAAATATTTGATAATTATCATTTTTATACAATAAAATTAAATGATAAATTAGTCTTCTAAAGAAGCACTGTATATTATTAGCAGAATTATTTTTGAAATCTTCGTAAAATATATTAGATCAGTTTGTGAATATACATATTAGGTTTTTTATATTTATAAAATCTAACATATTTAAGCTGATTTGATTAAAATAAAAAAAACGAAAATTTAATATCGTTTAAGTTGTGAAAATTAATGCAAACTTCGAAGATTTAAATTGCAGATTAATTCAAGGAAAATATCTGCGAAGAGAGGAAAAGTTGGTTCATAATAATTGCAAATTTTTGTTACATTATCTTTCCAATTTTCCGAAACAAAATGTATATTATCGAGAAATTAAGACGCAGTCGACGCCATCGATGAGAAAAGGCCTCATAAATATCTTTCGAATGATAAAAAAAGACCTCCATGAGCGCGCGTATATATCGTTATATAACGGTAGCGCGAGTGTCTTTTATCGAGCGAACCGTTTTACGAGAGAAATAAAAATAGTGACAGCAATTTTACGATTCTTATGATGAGAGCGCTTTTAACGATCTGGGGAGATACGCGTAACTCGCGAATTCTTATATTATCCGGGGAAAAACCTACAACGATATTATACACAAATTTTTACATCTACAACACTATATTATTATGACATCATTTAGCATTAATTGTCATTTTTTGCTCCTTATTTGTAGAAACTGTTATCTGAAATGTCATATCGGCTCAAAATAATTATACGTTAAAATTCTTACAGATTAACATCCTATTTTCAATGACTTCTGATAATCTATCCCAAAGTAGCCCGAATAAATGTAGGTCTTCTATCGTGCTAACATTAAATTTCGATAAATAAAAGTGATATCATTTCGATGACTTCAATTTTTTCAAGGATCTTCGAGAAACTCTAACACGACACTACGTCACGTCGATACATCTATGAATAATAATCTATCTATAATTATTTCCTGAATCAAAGAATTTTCAGTTTACAGATTTTACGTAAAAGCAATAGTGAGAAATAAAATTGTGAAAACTTTTAGATAAAATATATATATGCAATTATAATAAAATAGTTGCATATATTAATGCATTGAAAATATATAAAAACGATAATACATTATAAAAATGCGCGTTTCTTTTTTTTTATAAATATTTCAATATAATTTTCTTTTTCAAAATTTCTTACAATTTTTTGTAATATAAATAAATTTTCCAACGCTTCGTCCAAGGATGAGCGCGTCTACGACAAACTTGTCGGATATGTTAGTGTTACTCTAGATGTTGGTAGTGCTCGTAATATCCTGGATGTGTGTTATCCTGTACTATATTCTCTTCTATACCAGTCTTCGGATAAAAATATTTCGTAGTCTTCGCTGATCCAATCGTCTCGCTGGTCTCTAAGAAAAGTGGTGGGGCCTTGCATGCGCGATGCTCTAGTTAATGTCAAGTTTGACCAACGGAAATTTGTCGGATATTTCAACGGTCAAACCCACCATGCAAGCGTCGAGCAACTTGCATAATTCAGGTGTCATCGTTCGTAATCTACTGCTCGAAGCAAAATTTCTCTCTCCACATGCTTGAGAAAATTACATGCGTGTGTGTGTATATGTGGTCTTGAATAAAATCGCCATTATATAAATATTCGTTTTTTTTCTACTTTGCCTAAATAAAAAGCTTAAAGAAAGTAAGCTGTCTTTTCATTAATTTCAATCCGTCAATTTGCGGTTAATTGCGCAATAATTATATTTCTCGCGGATATTATTTATAAGAAAAATTTTTTTTTCAAACCGTAACGATGCTTAAAACGAGTTCTTCTATTTTTTTAATCTTATGATGGCTTTCGGTCTAAAGGTATAACGATATATACCATCGCGGTTAGTCAACTGTGACGGGGGAGAAAGAAGAGGGAGAGGGAAGAAACGATCCGTTGCTCCAGTTAACGAAACCGTACCGGACATAAGGAATATCAATATCGGCCGGCAGCCTCGTCCAGGTGTGGACACCTTAGCGCATCCCTCAACGGCCGAGCAAACGTCCGAGAATCTATTAGAGCATAGTTTTTCCCAGACCGCCATCGCGCCGGCCACGTTCGTCAGAATACATCGAGCTGGCCACGAAGAAGGTCACTTATGCCTAACGGATTTTTTCGACCTGATTTAAATAGGTCCGTCTTTTCTCCCTCCTTCGCCGCGACGGACATTGTCCAGGTAAATTTTCGTTACCGGCCGCATCGTAAACGGAAAAAAGTATTCTCAGGTAGCCAACGCGTTCATGGGAATGAAGAAAGTTGACCATTCGCTCGGGTCACTCGATGATTTGGAATTAGAATATCTCGCAATCCCTTCTCTGGGATCTCGGAGATTTTTCTCCCATGAGAGAGAATTTTATTTACCTGATATGATTCTCTTCGGACCGATGACGACCGCTTCAGATTTCATCCCGAGGACCGATGAAAGCGTGTGAAAATTGCGAGAACACGATTTATGAACGATTCATGGACCAAGGAGCATTTATAAAATGGTCTTTAGTGTTAAATTTTTCGGCTTATAAAGAGAGAGATTATTATTATTATTTTATTATATAGATTTATTAGATAATTTTTAATGACCAAAAAATTTTGCATCTGTTTTATAATAATAACTTTCATTTATATATCTTTCGTAAAAAAACACGAATATTCCTGCGTTAGGGGAGCGCTATAGCATCATACTATCTATATTATTGAAAGTTAAACAAGGACACTCAAAAAGGTGCTTCCTGAACGCAGTTTTAGATTTGTGTTTCATAGTCAGATATGGTACAGATGATAGAATTGACTTATTGTTAAAAATATCTGCAGACGATAAATATTATATCTATGGTGATAAAAAGAAAGGACCACTAACGGTATCTTTTAAGTTCGATCTTTAGGTTGCATCAGTAAATCAGTGTGAGAAGAATTTTTTGAGTCAATCTTTAGGTTTTATCAGTAAATTAGTGTGAGAAAAATTTTTTGAGTCGCGATCTTTCATATCTTACGAGACATATTTTTATAAGAGAGCGCGAGATTATTAAAAATAATAATGTTAATATTTTTTTAATACCTGCAGTTTGCCGACAAAATTGTTCAACAAAACGATATTGATTCTAT